CATGTGTGTGTATACATGACTGCCTGTATGTGTGTTTGTCTATAGGCTCATCAAGGTCAGCAACGTCAAAGCTAGGAATTAAAACTCTTTCTGATTTAAGAGAAAAGGTATCGTAATTTCAGATGCATCTGAGATCAGAGAGAGAAAAAAAGACTTGCATTTACATAGTGCCCATCACAACCACAGACATTCCAAAGGCTTTAAACCCAATGACGTATTGTACAATTACTGTTGTAATATAGGAAACATGCCTACAAACTTGTGCACAGCAAGCTTCTTCAATCAGCAATGTAATCAGGACAATTCATATGTTTCTGGTAATGCTAATTCGGGTAATTATTTCAAATATTTATTGGCTAGGACGCCAGGGATAACTCCTCTGTTTTTCTTAATTGCTCAGGATCTTTTACATCCAATTTGATATGACACAGAAGGCCTCAGCTTAGTGTCTCATCTGAAAGACAGTATCTCTGCCAGCACAGCACTCAGGCAGTACTGCACTGGAGTGTCAGCTGAGATGTTTGTGCTCATGCCACTGGACTGGGAATTGAACACACAATCTTCGCTGAAAGATTGTCTGAGGCACAGTAGGCACTGCAACATTGAGCACTTCTGCTTAGCACAAACCTATCTTCTGTGGAACCCAGGAAACTGGAGGGAGTAATTCAAGCCCTCAAGCCCAGTCTGCCACACATTTAGATTATGACTGATCTGTACAGACTATCGTGCATTGTGTGATGTGGTGTACTGTAGAATGTAATATACTGAAGAATGCAATTTATTGTGTAAGGTAGAGTACTGAGCAGTTTGTGGAGTAGTGCAATGTGATGTAATGCAGAATGTTGTGCGACACAGCGTACCGCATAATGCAGGGAACTGCAGTATGCCATGGGATACAGTGTACTGTCTACTGCAGTGTACGGTATACTGTGGAACGCAATGTACTGTGTAATGCAACATAATGTAATGGGCAGTGTACATGTAATGCAGGTACTGTACAATGCAATGTACTGCACAGTATACACATGCAGCGTATTGTGTTATGCGATTACTTGGCATTGTACTGAGTACTGCCACCAAGTTGCTCCTTCTGTGACACACAAAAGCTTAAACAACTGTTTAAACCCCCCAAAGAACCCTATGCCGCTGTGGCTCAGGCTACTTCAGGCTGGTGGTAGGCGGAGGAATTCCCTCCCTAAGCATGTCCACCTCTTTCTCTGCTTTCTCCGATGCTCTTTAAAAGCTACGCAAGGGCTGAGATTCTGGACCCTCAGCCTCTCTCTCCTCAGGCAGCCACTGTTATCCGATTTCACACCCTGGGGCACTATTCCGCAGAAAAGGCACCCAACAGATGCAAGCTGTTCTGTGAAGTAACAAAACTGGGGAAGTGATCATTCTCTGGAGCAGTGTGACCAATTCACTGGGACGGTGGCAGGGACTAAAATTTGAAACAAGGGAAGTCAAATAATTTCCAAGACCTTCACTGGATTTTGCTCTGTCTTAATTCCCTGATTCATGTTTTGGATGAGGAACCCTTCTGGAACGTCAGTGGAGGGGAGTTAAAGGGAAGATTACAAAATGGAGGCTCACTCAGTGGGCAAGCAGATTTATCTTTACAAGCCTTGCTATCATATTGTGAGTGCATTTTTCGAAGTCATGAAGGCATGCTACAGGTGGTCGAAGAGGCACTTTCTTTCAGCATCGCATGCAAAAAACAAAATCACACTGAAAAATGTTGTTTGTCCTATTTTAGGAATGTTCTAGAAGGCAGAGAGAGTTGTGGCAGGTGTGTTCATTTGGCTTCTCAATTATTGCACAATTCAGCTTGATTTGCCTTTCAAAGATGTAATTTTCGGCAGAATAAAGAGTAAGACAGACCTATTTTCGAAAACTGGGAGAAATCTTTTCACATTCATAGCAATTACGCGTGAATTCCTGTCCCTCACAACAGTCTCAGCTTTTGCTATCCTTTTCACAGGGCGAGGAATGAATGGAAATGCCCCTTTCCACCAGGAGCCAGGTATTTTCATTCATAGTCCTAATTTTTCCTACCCCCACCCTGCATCTCTCTCTCTCTTTCCCTCTAGCATTCGGGTTTCATTTCTTAAACAAAACCTGAGAAATCAGTACCTAACGATCTTTAGCAGGCTGTTTCACTAAATTGTGTGGTGGGTCACCTCAGGTACCCGCAAGGCCCGATTCCAAAATGGCCACCCTGACCATTCCAGGCCGCGGCACAAATTGGATCTCAAATTGCTTGAGTCTTTGCAAATTGTTGCGGTGCTACTCCTTTGCACTTTCAGAAAGATGGAGGCATATACATCGAAGCACCATTTCCTGTCCCCACCACCACCCACCCTCGTCGCCCACCAACACACCTTCCCCGCCACTCAATACTCTGAAGCATCTCAGTGCTTGGGGTAGAACGAACTGCTTTGGAGTGTGGGGGAGTTGGTTGGCCAAGTTGGTGCACAGCAAGATTCCACAAACAGAGCGGGATGACTGACCAGTCCACCAGTGCTCTGGTTCTCCTGGGATATGGGAGGAAAAACGGGAGATGAGATTGAGAGACAACGAAAGGACCACAGTGAGGTCCTTTGCTCTTTTCCAGTTGGAAGAATGTTTTCAACTGCTAGTGATATAAAGCCCAAGCAGGTTAATTCATAAAGGCTGCAGAACAAAGTTAAGACAGAAAGAGAAGAACAAACGAAGACAGACATGGAAGCCAGCACGTACTCCCTAGAAATATTCCACGTTAAAGCAACTGCATTCCCTGAATGTCATTAAAATTAAATTTAAGTCTGGCCTCAAGGTAGAGACTTTACTGGGAACTGCCACACACTTCCTCGTGTTTTTTGTTTGTGTTTTAAAAAATATTTTTCTTTGCACGTGTCGTAGGTACGGAATGTTGATTTGCTTTCCAACCAGAATGATGTGAAACGTCGACAAATAAACAATCTTCACAAGCCGCTGACTTCTCAGAGAAATGTAGAAGGTCTCTCCATTCTCAGCCGTTCCTTCGGTCGGCCCCGTGTACGACTCCATGAGGCGATCTCGCGCAACCAAATTCTCTCAGAAGAAGGAGGGAGGAAAAAAATCAAATCAAAAGATAACACGATGCGTGTGAGATCATCACTCTTTTCTTCTCTATTTATAATCCACAGGTGCGATGTTGAGTGGAGAGAATAGAAAAAAAAAGGCGTTCCCATGGCGATCGCAGTGAAGAGTGCAAGTAGAGCCAGCGATACAATTCAACGTTTTGTATGTGTGTGTGTTTTTTTTTGTTAACTAGCCGTGCGATCTCTCAGTTTGAGGTGTAATCTTCCTTTCCAATTTTTATAGTGAGCCCAGGCTCCACTCCTGTGACATAGCTGTTGGGGAATCGGACGTTTTGGAAATTGACTGAGTGAAGGCTTTTCTTGGCCGCAAATCCGTACCGTTGGCGATACAGCACCATGCCCAGAGTGATACAGAGCAGCACTATCAGAGCACCTCCTCCGGCCATTATGTAATACCAATAACTGGGGATGGGCTGCGCTGACACAGACTCCACTGTGGGTTCGCTCCCTGCAGGGCGTCCCCCTGGTGAAGAGACACAAAATAGCGCTGGGAACTAATCTCATTGATCGATTTAAGAGCATGCTCAGTGCGCGGGGTGCATCATGGGAACACGCTATGGCCACCAGGTGGATGCTTGTCTCTCTTCCTCTCCCCACCTCTAACACCAACCACCGCTCCCCCTCCGACCTTTACATCATGGTGGAACTGTGGGTAGAGATTCCGAAGGGCGAATTCCCTCCAAACTGTGGTGACACGATTGGTGGGCGGACCGCACTTGCCAATGCCAGAGTGACCAACTCTGGGCGATAAGGGATGCTTCGCCATTAGGACAGCTGGAAAGACCATAATTTCTTAGGGCTTAGGACAAAGGGGGTGGGTGTGCGGGGCAGGGTAAGTGGGGGAGCGCGTAGCTGGGGTTTGGGAAAGGGATACCCAGGCCCTCAATCCCGCCCGGTGGACGGTTCCAGAACCCAGATCACCAACTGTTTCAAATCCAGGATGCCCTGGCACCCTGGGCGACGTTCCCAACGGCGATGAGACGCTATCTGGCTGGCCAATCTGACCTTCCAAAATGGCCTCCCGGCCTAGTTTCCCATGGCAGAGAGTGCAGTCAGGGCAGTGGAACCGTCCCAGAATCCACCATGTAGCTGGGGGACAAGCAGGATTCCATGATGCACAGTGGCTTTACTTTGTTTACAAAGGCGCGGTGCAGTGAATGACATTTTATTCAAAAACAAAAACAAGGCTGTGGCAGCAAATTAAACACAGCCTATCTCGAGATCACTTTAGGCGATTAAATTCACTGCAATAGGGCGATCGGTTTGGTCTCAGCACACTAAAGGAAATTCTGAAGTGCTGAAACTATGCTGTGACAGTGTTCATGAACTGCCTCTCTCTGCTCTTTTAGCAGAGGTGTTAACCTATTGGCAAACCAAGAGGTTAATTCATCTGTAAAAGGAAGTGAGGAGAGATATTCCAGAGTTACACACCTTGCTCAACCTACACAGTACTCTTCTTAGCCCTCCTAAAGTTCCAAACTGCTTTGTTGCCCTCTCAGTTTTGTGCCGAGACCAGACACACTCGAACCAGCTGGTGCAGACAAATAAATGGTGACTGCAGATTCACGGAGACCATTGACATAAATCGCTCACAGTGAAGACTTTTTAAATTGGCCTTTTCAAGATTCCGTCAGTGTTTGCGGAGCTTAATTAATTCAGTCCACTTGTGCCTTTAACCTGAAATCAACTTGGCTCTATAAAAGGGCGTGCTAATTGACCAAATTGTGCCAGTGTAATCAGATCTCGACAAGACTGACAATTAAGAGAGCTCAGGTTCAGTGACGGAGAAAATCCCCTTACTTCCATATAGCTATGTACCTCTAAATACCCATTGATCCAAATAAATGTCTCGAGTCACGTATATGGTACAATTTAACTCACCTGTCGGTATATCAGTAGGGTGGATTCCTGGAAAGGCACTAATGGGTTCTGCAAATAAAACGGACCAACTATTAAACATACATTGCAACACCTTACTACAAGTCTTTCATCTATACAAGAACAACATGCATATATACATCATCTCGGCTGCAGTAAAACATACCAAGACTTCACAGGAATGTCATCAGGGAAAATTTGACAGTGTGCCAATTAGTGCCAATTAGTAGGTCTTGGTTAAAGCAATAAATTTTCAGGAAACATACAAATTTAAAAACACCCTTGTCTTTCCAATTACTGCAACCGGGGCACAAAATCTAGGCTGACACAGTACTGCAGCAGTGCTGCGGTGTCAGAGGGACAGTGCTGGGAGAGTGCTGCACTGTCAGAGGGTCAGTACTGAGGGAGCGCTGCACTGTCAGA